TCTAATTTATTGAGAAATATTCTTAAGCATGGAAGAAAGATCTTTTATTCATCTATAAATTGGGGGAGAAGAGAAGCATGAAACAATTGATGCAATTCATAATCATGTGAGATATTCTTCAAGCGAGAGATACACTATTGAGTTAGGAGTTTGAGAGATCATCATCCTCAAATTAGAGTGAGTTCAACCACAAAGGTGAGAATGATCCACCAAAATTAAGTGAGAAGAAATTTGTTGTAATCCATCCTTCTAGCGGGTAAAGTGTTGGGTGCAATCCTCTAACTACAATCAATAAAATAAGTTAGAAGAAAGATTAAGCAAGTGAGGAAGATTAAGATACTTGCATATCAATCCAAACACACGAATGAACCTCCAAGAGTTCGAGTGAAATTGGAAATTTGAAAGGGGGAAGAGGAAATACAACATGGAAATTTGAAAGGGGGAAGAGGAAATTGAAGCCCCAAGTCCAAGAAAATGGCTTCATAAATGTAGAAGAAATGAAGCTCATCCTTGTACCGACCCAAGCAATCACGTTCCGAAGAGGATGGAAAAGAAAGATCAATGATGTGGTGTTACCAATCGGGAGGGCAACTATCTCCTGCGGACTGATCTTAGAATTATATAGGAAAGGACATCCTATGTATCCCATGGATGACACTCTCTCAATTCAGCGATGGTATCTTCCATGAGTATCTAACTTTTTCATCTACACTCGTGCCTTTCAAATCAATTCTTCCCACTTTTCAAGCGGATAAAGTTGTATCCCAAAGTATGGCCCTTCAAACGCAATGTATGATAACAATCTCATGTCTAAGGATGACCCGCACTACTAAACAATGAGAGATATTACATATCTAATGATACTTCTATAAATTTCTCTATAGGGTCTCTTGGTGGGTCAGTGCAACTTAATCTACTATAAATCCACCCACGTAATAGGTTAAGGCATTTCATGCCTGCAGTCATGAGGTTTGTACCTTATATCTCCATGTAAGTAACCTAGTATCGTGCTAGTGTAATCGAGATGACCAATGCCCTTTCTTGGTGACTTAAGACTATGAACAAGTTTAGCGAATAATCATGTAGTGAGCTTCAGTTCTCATTATCATGATCTCATCATAGATCTTCAAGACACATCTGTACTGTCCCAAGGACCTTTATTTATATATGCATACATTATGAGACAAATAATATGAGATAGATAAAGTGCGCTTTGTATGAATAGACATAAAGTATCATATAATGTTTTATAGTACAAATACAATGTCAATGACTTTCAAATTGTCTCTAAGACGCCTACATATACTAACAATCTCCCACTTGGTCTAGAGTCAATAGGGCTAATGCGTCAATCCTAATGACTCATAATGACTATCATGCATCCTCCAAGAAACTCCCTTAATTAGAGAATCAACCAAATTATCATCAATGGGTACATAATCAAGGTTTGTATCTAGCCTTTCAACGATAAAGTGATATTTGCGGAGCATATGCTTGGATCATTGATAAGACTTGGGTTCCTTGCCTTAGGCGATAACACTAGTGTTGTCACAATACAATTCTATTGGATCAACAATGATCAGAACCACCCTTAGTTCAGTGATGAACTTCTTGACCCAAATTGCCTCCTTAGATGCTTTAAAAGCCACTATGTATTCATCTTTTGTGATTGAATCTGTTGTCGTCTCCTGCTTGGAACTCTTCCAATTTATAGCTCTACCATTTAATATGAATACAGAACCCGACTGTAATTTCAATTATCCTTGTCACTTTGTAATCCGCCTATATGCAGGGCAGGTTGTATAGGGTTGAAGGGTTGAAATATGCAACCTAACTCTCCTCGTTATGGCGATTTGGTAGGTTGATCTATCAAGTTCAACCCACTTTGCCAAAGGTCTGACTGGTATCGAGGCATGATGCTTAAAGCATATGAAAGGTCTGGTCTTATACATAGCATAACATACATGATGGATCCAACAGCTAAAACATATGGTGTCTCATTTATGCGATCCTTCTCTTGCTCTGTCCTAGGACACATGCATGGCCTTAGAAATATGAGGCTTTTCGAAGAAGCAAGAAAACATTTGAAGATATTGAAGGATGAAATGCGCGAAATGAAGCAAATAAGGCAGAAAAATGAACATATAATGGCACAAAATTGAAAACATCCTCAAAAAATATTGAGGGCAAATTTGTAATCTCAAGAGGGATAAATAGGAAACTAGGGTGTCACTATTGCCTATCATCATGAGGCTCACAATGCAAAAATTTCATCACAATCTCTAATGAACGTCTGGAACGAGAACATGTCATGTGTAAAGGCGTAATTGTCGGGATGAACCTAGAGGAAACCAAGAGTCAATTGAGGCATCAAGATACATACGATGCTCACATTTAATCGACTCTTCAGCTAACCTTCAAAAAGCAAGTTCAAGTTTCCTTAGACGACCTCATATACGAGCATGCCAAACGAGCAACTCCTCTCAAGTTCGCTCATGAAAAACGATCTCATATGAGATGTTCACATTATCTTGCTTGTAAGCCAACCTACCAAAGAAAAACAACGTGGACTAACTTAAGAAAAGAACGACAACAGATAATTCATCAAGAATTCCCTCGAGAGGATGAGCAAGTCCATTGATAATGAGATTGCCTAACTATAAAATGCACAATACGACTAGCCACAGAGATTATCAACCCAAGCCTAGGATAAGAGCGACTCGACCCTCCATGCCTTGAGTTTAGAAGAGTATCATACTCTATAGTTCGATTGTCCGAACTCTTAAGCTACTGGATTGAGGGGTAATTGTTCTGAACCCACATAATTGGCCCCACAACTTCTAGAAGTAAGAACTTAAATTAATCCTAATTGAATACGCATGGACATTATCTTTTGAAGAGTTTGAATTCTGTCCAAACTCTCACGTCTCGGGATAAATCCATTTTCTAAATAGAGTTAAACCCCAAAGGTATACATCTTATGAACCCTAGTCTATTTTATTGTCATTATGTATATACACCACCTGCATTGACTTCTAACCTCTTTTCTTGTGCATAGTAATATCTTATCCTTCACAGTTATCTCTTCCATAAACTTGGATTTGAACCCTTTCATGTGAAAAAATGGTCATGTGGTCACGTTATTTAATCATAGTTATTCATTTAAAAATTATACATTTTTCTCTTTCTTATTTCATTATCAATGAGTGAAAATGAATGGCTATGATCAAATAACATGACCATTTTTTCATATTAGAGGATCCAAATACCATAAACTTTAGGTTACATATCCAACATTAATCACAAACCGCTTGAATTCAACAAAATGTTTTATTAAGTTTTACTCGAAACATAAAAGCGTCCTAATAAAAACAGGGTCCCATTTCATTACTAAAAAATTGTCTCGCTTTTATTACTTAGGTTATCAGATGGCCCATGCTATATTTTTTCTTTATTGTATTAATGTCCGAAGTTATTCTTAAGTAAATTTCTAATTTTATTTTTCGGGAACTCGAACAAAGCAAGAAAGTAGAGATAAGTCAAAAATAGTAGTTGGTAATTCCAAAAGGTGGACCACTAGCAATCATTTAATAAATTAATTAGATTAGGTAGGATTTAATCTTTGCTCTTGATAGTTTTAAGTTGAATGGGTAGTAGATAGGCAACATATATTTATTGCAAGAATTTGAATTATCTGGCTTGAAATGTTTAAAACCCGATTCTTGTTTTCAGTAATATATTTAACTTTTTGGACAGGTCATACGCATATTCTCACCTTGTCGCATTGAAATAAAATAACCTCCATTTTCTTAACTTAAAAAAAAAATTTGCTCGTGATTCTTTTAAGATATTATTTTAGAAATAAAGTAAATAATATTACACATAGATGTGTTGAATATTTTTAAATATAACTATATAAATTCAGTGAAAAATATTGCACACTACTTAATAAGAATATGGATGATAATGTTCCCACCAACGTTTTTTTTTAATCTGGAAAATATAAATGGTTAGATATAATATGTGGTAAAATCAATTTATCTTTTTGATTTCAGAAAATGAACCGGTAATTTAGAAACCAAATATACAGCATTAGAAGCAACAGATGTGTTTTTTAAATAGAATAAATTATGTTATCAGATATTATTTTTCCTCAAAAATTCTTCAAAATCATATAAAGATAAAACTATTTCTTTACAAAACACTACAACGGAGTATATAATAAGTGATTAACATTTTTCTTGCCATATAAAATAAAATAAAGTTATATCCTGTAAGCCTAAATGATATTATTTTGGGATTTAAAAAAATTCAAGATATTTTAATAAAAATTATAATACAAAAGGAAAATAAAATTTTCAAAATATACTATATTTTTTTTAAAAGATTATACTTACCATCATTTTAAATTTATTATTTTTATTACTTGGTTGGTTACCGTTTGATTAATTTAAAATCAACAACAATTAAATTTTTTTTTCAACTGTTAATTTTAAATTAATTCAACGATCAAACAGATAATAAGAATGATAAACCTAAATATAACCAACTTTTTGTTTTACGTCGTTTTGAAATTGTTTTTTCTCATATAATAATTATCATGCACATCTTAAATAAATAAATAGATGATTGCCGGCTTGCCCCAAATATGTAGCCAACGGACAGTGTAATGAGTCATTAATATGGTATTAGTGGTCTGGTTCTGGTCTCTGTCACGCTGAGTTCAAAGCCAAAAAAAATAAAACAAATCACACCTCAAACTCAATTCAAAGCCACAGGGTTTTAACTTAAAAAGAATCATCAGTGTCTAATCAAAATCCCCGCCCAAACCTTCTCCTTAATATTATTTTAACATTATTATATAAAATAATATAATCAATCATAAACTCATTCACTCTTCTCCGTGTTGGCCTAAGTGCTCACTGCTCAACATTAACATAAATAGAATAGAACCACCACAGAGACACAGAGAACAGAGCCAAGCCCTGTATGTGTGTATGTTTCTGAATTTGAATTTATTTATTGTTAATCTGATTCATTGCGTTGGAGTGTGATTGATTGTATGAGGCTAAGAGCAGCAGATCTATGATGGACGCGCACATTGAGATTGACAATAATGTCTCCTTCAAAGGTCGAAACAAGAAGCTCTCTGATGACCTCATCACGCTCTTGCACGGTTCCGATCCAGTTCGTGTTGAGCTCGCTCGTCTCGATAATCAGCTACGAGGTTCCATTCTCAATTTTCGACTTCGAAATTTTAGTAACTTTTTTTTTTCTTTCTTTTTATTGGTTTTGGCATTTTGAACTCTTGAAATGTGTGACGGAAATGGTAATGTGTTTGTTTGTTTGAATGTTTTTATGGTGAATTCGGTTAATGTGTGTCTCACTTGCAGAGAAAGATAGAGAGTTAGGGGAGGCTCTTGCGGAAATTAAGTCATTGAGGAACTCAGAGCGTCTTAAAGAAAGGGGAGTTGAAGAGGTGAACTTGTTTAATTTAATTTTTTTTATATTTTATATTTTTTTCCTGCTGTAATTTTTTGAGAGAAATAAAAGGCCGTGAGACTGTTTTTTCAGACCCTGATGTTGATCTTTCCGTCACAAAGAGCAATCAAATGTATTGTTTTTTTTTTAAAAAAAAAAAAAAATGTTTTTGAGGGAAATGTTGTCATAAAATAGTTTAGGGTTTTGTATTTGCTGTCTTGAATTTAGGTTGTGTTTCCTTATGCCTGACTCATATGTGCTTGTTCATATGGGAAAAAGCAAGAAAAAAAAAAAACTGTTAGTTTCATTAAAATAAAACAAAATGAGTTGTCTTTTTTTAAAAGAATTCAGCCTTGCCTCCAATTGATAATGTCATTTTGTTTGAGTTACTGATTTAATCAGTATCTCCATATTTGTATAGTTTTTCCTTTTAAATTGATACTGAAATTTAAGTTTTTCTAAAATAAATTTCATGAAACATCAAAATAGGCAGTTGGCTTTTTCTTTATTATGGACTGACTGCCAGAATTGAGTAGTCATCAGAGAAAAATAGGCTTTTCGGGTGATTTGTTTGTTCTCATAGTCTCATCCATTGAATTTGATTTCTATTTTTGTCTAGTAAATATGCTGGAAGCTTTTATTTTATAGTCGCAGCTAGGGTTTTGAATTGCAGTACGCAGCTGCTATTGTGGCAATGAAATTTAAATCTCGAGTTTGGTTAATCATTTATAATGGGAAAAACGTATAATAATATTCGAAGGCTGAGATAATACATGATGAAACTGTATGATTATCTTGTGTACTTGGGGTTTGAACTCAAAAAAGGGAGGGGGGGACATCCACTTATTACCAAGTGGGTGATCATCAGTATGATTAGTTGTATGAAAAGTTTGTTTTGTGGAAAGCTTATGGTTGGTTAATGGCCTGATGCTTATGTACTGAACTGTTTAGTTGCAACAAACAATATTTTGATGTTTTTAATTCTTCTATATTTGTTGCATTTTCATTATAAAGAACCTAGATATCATGTGGTATGATTCAGTATTCCATTGAGGCAGTAAACTACTACTGCATTCAGCTTTTCTGATTTTATTTGACAAAGCAAAAAAATTGCTCTGCTGTCAACAATAGCTTGACAATGTTCTCATCTGTCTATAATTCTATGCACCTGGTAGTTCTTTGACTTGTAGTATCATGTTGCAAACTTTTTGCTATCTAAAGTTCTATGCATAATGAAGTTATCAGTATATTTAAAAAATTCAAAATCCAATGTGATGACCCTTGGTGTTTTCGTGTGTTTAATCATTTCAGCTAGCAGATGAGCTGAACAAGGTGGATGAAAAGCTAAAAGCAACTGAAGCTCTTCTGGAAAGTAAGGTAGTATTTGTAGTGGCAGCATTATATCTGACTTGTTCGAGTTATTTCACTTCTCAATAACGATTATTTCTGGGTCACTTAGTGCTGCATTATGTTTCACAGAACCTTGAAATAAAAAAAATCAGTGATGAGAAAAAGGCAGCTCTGGCTGCGCAATTTGCAGCTGAAGCAACACTTAGAAGGGTCCATGCTGCTCAGAAAGATGATGAAATGCCTCCAATTGAAGCCATTATCACTCCATTGGAGGCAGAGCTCAAGCTGGCTAGAATGGAGGTATATTATGCTGGTTACATAAGCCATGAGATGTAGTCCAACTGTTATGCTTACATTGTCATTCTTTCTCACTTCTGCATCCTGGACGGTGACATTCTTGCCAATGAAAATTATTAACATGCTTGGAATTGGCTTTTGGCAGGGAATAGATGCAAGTTTATTAATCATTCCCTATCTTATGGATGTATTGTTCCTTGATGAGAATCAAGGGCAAAGGGGTAACCTTTTTACTTGACCTTGTTGCTTTTATTTTCTAGGTGGCAAAGTTGCAGGATGACAATAGAGCACTAGATCGGCTGACTAAATCAAAGGAGGCTGCACTTCTAGAGGCTGAGAGAACTGTTCAGATTGCTTTGGCCAAAGCATCCTTGGTTGATAATCTGCAAAACAAAAACCAAGAGCTAATGAAACAGATTGATATATGCCAGGTTCGTTGCCCTTCTTTAATTGTTCTTATCCATGTCTGGAAGGAACATATACTTTCTACAATCAATGAGTGGAATGCAAAGTTTGGACTAGTATTATATTTTGTGCTCTCATGTCAGGAGGAGAACAAAATTCTGGACAAAATGCATAGACAAAAGGTTGCTGAAGTTGAAAAGCTAACCCAAACTGTTCGTGAGCTTGAAGAGGCTGTCTTGGCTGGTGGTGCTGCTGCTAATGCTGTCCGTGATTACCAGCGGAAAGTGCAAGAGATGAATGTAATAATTGCCATTATTGTGATACTCTTAACTGTTTTGCTATTCTGAATCTGTTGTAGATGCTTTAAGCTTCTTCTGAGTTGTAACCTATGTGTTCATAGGAAGAGAGGAAAATTTTGGCGCGGGAAGTAGCTCGTGCTAAAGTTTCTGCAAACAGGGTTGCCACCGTAGTTGCAAATGACTGGAAAGATGCTAATGACAAAGTGATGCCTGTAAAACAGTGGCTAGAAGAAAGAAAGCTTTTTCAGGCATGTAACCAGCTTAGAAATTGCTTTCGCTTTGTCTATCAAAAGTTATCTGCATGTTTCTGATAGCTGATGTCTAAAAATATTCCAATCTTCTGATGCTAGCCAAAAAGTGTCATGTACAAATTAAAAAATAAATCTCAGTTTAACTATGATTATTATAATGGATGAAACTAGCCTTCTTGGCTGTCCTTGTGGTTAGATGTATATGTGATGCCAAGGTCTGAGAATCACTGAGGAAATTGATTTGGTTTATAGCTATGACAATTTGGACATCTCCCATTTCCTTGCCCTGCCTCACCCCGATGTAGGTGTGGGTAACAACAATATAGATTGCATACAACATGGGTGTCGGTGACCATATAGACTGTAGATAACTCCCTACTCTGTGACCTGTCTTTAACTCGCCATCAATATTCATATAGATTATTTCCTTTTTTCTATTTTGTTTCTATTATTTCTCACTTGTACCATATATTTCCCCTGGAAAAAGATCCAAAGTCATCCTCATTGTTTACCAATTTGTTGGTTTTATCTATCTGTGTGTCTGAACGTATTCATTAAATTTGGGCAGGGAGGGACAGGATAAAAAATTACCGACTTATGGGATGGGAACAACCCCCCTACTCCTTATTAGTTTATCAGGGTTCTAATTGACATATTCTTGGCAGAAAGAGAGTATGAAAACTTGTATACTTTGTCTCTATTGTTTTCCTCGCTTGTATAACTGGTGATGAACTTGATTCCACAATCCATAATCTCTTGATCATTTATTATTCGGAGTACTAAAAGCCTGCTAGCTTAAGAATAAGTGATTATGATGTAGATCAAAGTAGCCTTTTGTAGGCCATGAACATAAAGGAGAGAAAAATTAAAATTTTGTGCTGAAGAAGCAACCTTTGCCCACCCTCAATCATGTTCAACCCATGAATCATGCAATAGACATGTTAGGGGTTTAAAGTTGATACCTTTATTCGTATTAACTATTCCTGATCAGATGCATTCTTGATCAATTCTTCAGACTTGAAGAACACAAGTCCTCCGATGGAAATCCGCACCACCTTGTTGTCTTGTTAGAGTAGAACGCTTCTTCGAATGCCCAATGTCCTTCAATGGAGGTTGCTAGACTCAAGAGAAGAACAGAGAGTGGGTGGTGCCTTTGGTTATTCCAAGAGAGGGAGAGATAGCCGCCGCATTGATGTGTGTTGGCTAGAGTTTCAGTGTAGAAAATTAGAGAAGAGTTACAAAACTAAGGAAGAAAAGGGACTATATATGTGGCGCCTCATTAAACTAAGACTAGGTCAAATCAGCGCCCTCATCAAATCTCAATCTTATTGGGTAATTTTTTTAATTTTATCCAATCAATCCAATTGATTGGTTTCCTCAATTTCAGCCAATTAATTTAATTAATTGATTTCTTTAACTTTATCCAATCAATCCAATTGATTGGTTTCCCCAATTTCAGCCAATTAATTTAATTAATTGGTTTCCTTAATTTTGGTCAATCAATTTAATTGATTGGTTTCCAATCAATCTAATTGATTGGCTTCCTTTATTTTCTCTATCTTCATTAAATCTAATTTAATGACTATATTTAAATTCAAATTTCAAATTCAAAATTCAAAATTAGAATTCAAATTAATTTTATTAATTTAACATTTAAATTAATTAGGTTACATCATGGATCAAGTCCAACTTAGCTCATGATACCACCTACCCTCTCTTGGCCCAATATGTGGGCTTTACCAACTTAGGCTCATTATCCCTTATTGGGCCCAAACCACATATGCTAGAATTCAAGGCAACTTAAGGTGTTTGTGTGCGACCCATCAGACCCAACATAGCCACTAACATAAATGGGCTTGGGCCCATTAGGCCCAATCCATCTAATGACAACACAGAGCACTAGCAATGCTTTGTTGTCCCAAAGCTAGTTGAGTTCATCGAATGATCAACCTGGTATACCTATTTGGTTACCGTGTGAATTGTTCTTTCGTCTCGGTTATCCGTCCCATTGACCTAGGTCAAGGAAAATGTATCAAACCCTGCAGTCTAGGATTAGCTTTTGCCGAAATAGGGAATCTTCATTTACGGACTCTAAAGAGCGGGTCATCTCATGACTCTTTTACTATGCATAGATTCCCGAGTCCCGTAAATGTCATCACGGTTTCACCGGTCTACGGATAACCTAATCTCTAACAGTGATTGACGAAAGCTTATCACACTAGCCCTGAGTCCTTAGGGCATGTCTAAGAGTATACCTACGAGTCTTCATGTTTCAAGCAAACAAGGTATACAATCAAAGCAAGCCTTCCAGAGACATTACCTACTGATACTATTTGTGAGATTTCCTTGTAGTGTCTCTTTGTGGGTCAATTCAGTGCGAGCTATTATCCAATAGGGACACCCACGAGTCAGCTAAGACATCTCCATATCTGTAGCTCACGGTTTCACACTCACTCTACTTTGCATGTTCATGAAAGTAGTTGAGTCGTGCTAGTCTTACCCGAGATCACCAATGCCCATTCTCGGTATCTCTAGACTAGGAACATATTTCTGACAATGGACGTGTGGTATTATTGAGCCCTCATGATCGTGATCCCTATCACATCCTCAATGTGACACCCGTTCCTTTCCAAAGGCTTTATCCAGTTACTCATATTCAATATTTGAAACATGCAATATGAAACAAGATAAAAAATGCTTTTATTCATAACAATAAAGAAGTACATGGGTCCATCTTACTCTCAGATTGTCTCTAGGACACCTATGTACTAACAATAGATGTCTTTGATACAGCTCAATATTAGAGTTTGAATTGTGAACAAATATCCATTAACATTGTAAAGTGCATTCCTGCTTTTATATAAAATTACTTTTTTTTATTAAAATGTCGGTGAAATAGGGGAAAGAATGCGATAAAAGTTAAGCAGTAAAGTTATTTAATGACATTGAAATTAAATGGAATTGTTGAGGTTCTATCCTAAACTTGATATTTTGTTGCATTGTTTTGTAGGGTGAAATGCAACAACTACGAGATAAACTGGCTGTAGCTGAGCGTACTGCAAAAGCGGAAGCACAAATGAAGGTATCTAATATGTTTCATGTTATTCCATAATCCTGATACTTCTTCAAAAGTCCCTTCTCAATTATGTAATTGTTCACACAGGAAAAATATCAATTGCGCTTCAAAGTTTTGGAAGAAAGGATTAAAACGTCTAATGGTAGTTCCAAAATCACTACTTCAGATGGAAGAAACATGGCTAGTGGGCCTTCACGGCGTCAGTCTTTTGGTGGAGCTGAGAGTCTCTCTGGATCTTACTCCAATGGATATCTATCAAAGAAAAGTTCAAGTTCAAAATCTGGGTCTCTACGATCAAATAGTGCTAGTATGTTAGTAAAGCATGCTAAACATTCATCTAGATCATTTGATGGTGGTAGTAGATCCCTGGAGAGAGGGAGGCCATCTTCAGTTGCAAATGGGCAAGATAAAATGCCAATCAACACTAATGATAAGACCACTGAGGCAATTACTACACACGCTAAGAGTGCAAATGGTATTCCAATTGAAAAATTCAGAGCAGAAAATGAAGACAATGTTTCAGGAATGCTGTATGACATGTTGCAAAAAGAGGTTATATCTCTGAGGAAAGCTTGTCATGAAAAGGATCGGACCCTTAATGACAAGGACGATGCAATAGAGGTCTGATATCTGATTTCTTAATTAGTATTGCAGATTTAACTTTCTCTCTCTCTCTCTCCCTTCCCCCTAATTTAATTTGTTGCGTTTGGAATGTGCAGATGTTGGCAAAGAAGGTTGATACTTTGAATAAAGCTATGGAAGTTGAAGGCAAAAAAATGCGTAGGGAAGTAGCAGCCATGGAAAAAGAGGTTTCTGCTATGCGGGTTAGCAAGGAGCATGATCATAGGGCACGACGAGCTAGTGCTCCTCGGGGGGCTGTGCATAGTTCTCAGTCAGTTTCTGCCAGGTCAATTTTCTTTCTTTCTTTTAATATTTATTATTATAATATTTTTTATTCTTCATGATTAATCCAGAACCTATGGTGACTTGATTTTTTAATTTGAAGGTTACAACAGAATCTATTTTTATGAATATTGTTTGTAAGTTGTAATTGTTGAAGTCTAGGATTTGCTTCCTACAAAATGCAAAGTGGATTACCATTCATTGCTAATGGTAAAAGTCAAAGGTTTAGACTTCTTATAAAGTACAAGGAACTTGATAGGAATCAATGGATTTGTGAAAACCAGGTTCCTTGAATTTCTCATCAATTGTTACCTAGAGTAAAGTGCGCGATTCACTTTAGAGTATCATAATCCCAAAATCTATGATGCCAATATGGATTTCAAATCTTACAATGAGCATCTGACATTCGGTTTTGTCATCTTTGAAGCTGGTGCCCATGTTATTTTAGCTTTGTGTTGGCAATATATGACGTTGGAGCTACTACAAAACATTAGGATATATGAAACTCTGTTTATAGTCCCTATTATTTGACAACGATGAAAAAGAAGCTGGTACCAAAAATATATAGTTTCCAAATATTCATTTTGTTTGTGAAGTACAGGAATTAGGGTGTTGCCTTTATCAAAACGTGCCCTTTTATGTTTTGGTGTTTGGACATCACCATTTTGCCAATGTTTCCTCATTTTTTGGAGTAATCTCACGGAAAATTCTTTCCATTGCATGTTTCAGGAGTGCACGTAACTTTTAAACAAATTCATTTCGTTGTGAGCGTGAGCTGAAAAAAGGTATCTCTTTTAATTCTTCTCCTGTGCTGAATAGGATTGATGATTTATAATTTTTTATTCTATGTTCTCCTTTCTCCTGTATTTTAAGCTGTTTAGCTGTCTCGGCCAGGGGTAGTGTGTAAAGAAGGGACCTTGGTTTTCCCGGAAACCATGTCGTGTATAATTCTTTGTTATACTGTATTACTATCTTCAGAAAGAAAATTTAGAATTAATGATTCGATGAGATTTACAGAAGATAGAAGAAGCATCTGAATATAGCTTCCTTCAAAGCTATCGATGTTGTTTGTTTGGTTGTTTTTTTGCTTTTTAATAAGCTTCCTTCAAAGTTCAAACAATGTGCTTTAAGTGTCAACCTTCGTGCTGCACCTTGTGTGGATTGATACAGGTTAAAATGGGGTGGAGTTTTGCATATTTTTACAAAAATTTAAAAACAATATACAGCTGACGCCATGAGATGAAATATAACATCATCATGCTTCCCTTGGACCACCCGGGTTCTAGGTGAACTTTTTGAGCATTCTTGGATGGGAGTACATCAAATTTCAGTTTAGGGAATTTGAAATGCGAAAATCAATTCCATGGTTTACCTATTTCTCTAGTTGGATAATTCTTTATTAAATTTGACAAAGGTATAGTTATTTTATTGTGTTACATTGACAAAGGTATATTTTTAATATAAAACGAGCTTAAATTTGATGTAATTCTAGTATAAAATTTTTAACACTACCATTCCATGATTGGTGTGGTGGCACATTATTTAGAGTTAAATTTTCTAACTAATGGAAGTGACAATCAAACTTCTTTAATGATTTTTCATACATGATTCCATGAGAATAAAAAAAAATTATAATTCCAATGCATCAAATGTCAGTCGTAATTTTTTTAAATGCAATTAATCCAAGGTTAGACCGTCGCCTGGGTAAAAAAAAAATGTGGGTAAATTACATAAATCACTCTATATTCAGAATGGCTAGTGGGTTCTGTATTGATCGGTTATCGTTGCTTGTAGCTGGTAGTGGTGTCATGGTGTCAGTAGCAGATCCATGGAAGGGTTTTTAAGGACCGAGACATGAAAGGGAGGATGTATATGACATCTGTTTGGTAGTTCCAACTTAAAAGCTACACTTCTACCACAAGGAAGGGACCATAAAAGCGCTTTGCTAATTTTTGGTTTTGAACGCTTTGCCACCTAAACTTGTCTATATGCTTGAGCTTAACCAGCATAATATCTCCAAGGACAAAGTTGTGTTCCTGTCAATGCTTGTCTGCTTTGAGTTTCATGTAGTTTTTTGCGCGTTCCAAGTTGCATTTGAGCTGCAATAAGACTTCATTTCGATGACACAGCAAGGTGTCCAATGCTTCTTCTACCCGGATCAATCAACGAGGATAATGAAGAATCATGAGAGTAGCCTGGCCAGACAAAGTTTCAAATGGTTTCCTTCCCCATTCAAGAATGGACCCATGTGTTGTAATGCAATTCAGCTCAACTGAGAAAAGAAACCACCACTTATTATTCTGATCATGGCAGAAGGCTCACAATCATTCTCCTTTCCCCATCTGGTAGGAGGCACTCGTCCATAATTTGGTTTCACTAAATAAAAATAGTTCTTTCCAAAATTTGCTGAGAAAGAAATCGTCCATATCAGATACTAAGGATATAGGAAATCAGTGTAGCTTCACAACCATTTCACAGAAAAGCTTGGCAACAGTGCAGCCGTATATGAAGGCAAGGGTTCAAAATGGATAAATTTGATAAGACGATCCACAACTACTATAATTGGGGTGAATCCAGGTAAACTTGTAAGGCCTGTGCTGAAATCTAAGGGGTTGGCTTAGTTAACAAAGAGTGGAAGGTCCTAGTGAATCATCCTCGTCATGCTGTGTCCATATATTATTTACAAAAAGTTTCTTAATGAATCAAAAGACAACTACCCCAATCCTCTTCCTTGGCCATTGCCTTCTCTATTCAGTCCGATTACACACATAATATTAACCCATACAACATTTTACTTCTATGTTTAGATTATTTTTCATTAATTAATTAAACAAATGAGCACGAGTGACCCAAAAGCGAAATGGAAAAAATAAAAAATTCTTTTCCCTTATTTTAAATAGTGTGGGGCGATATTTGGGATCATGGATGCGTCACGGAAGAGTCACATAGCAGAATTACTTCAGGGTGGTGGAGAGGGTTAGGGATCGGCTAAAAAATTGATATGGCCAATGCCTCTTCCAAGCTGGTCGAATTACCCTCTCCTAATCGGTAATCTCTTCGATTCCTATCTCCATATGCAAAATAATAAAATCACTTTAGCTATATGTGAGCAAATTGAAAAATTACAAAGGAATGAGGGATAGACCAGGCCATCGTTGGCTACATGTAATTGGTTGAGATGCTATTACTCAACCAAAGAATTGTGGGGGGCTGGGAATTAAGAAATTGTCTTTGATGAATGATGTTTTTCTTGCAAAGCTGGCTTGGAAAGTATTCGCTGAAGAGGATAAACTTTGGGTTCAAGTCATAAGGGGTAAGTATTGTGGAGAGGTAATATGTTGTTCACTGCTAAAGGAAGTGATTCTCATTTGTGGTCCAATCTATGTAGATTGTGGAATTCTCTAGAAGACAACAAAATATGGGAAATTGGAAATGGTGAGCTAATCCATTTTTGGCATGATAATTGGTTGAATGGGAATTGCAAGTTAATTTACAAAACTACCACTCCAGTTCCTGTTGAAGAGTTGAGTAAGAAGGTCATTGATTATGTTAGAGACGATGATCTATGGGATGTGCAGGCCTTGGGCTCTTGGCTTCCACCCCTGATGGCAACAAATTTGTAACATGTTACCTCCCCATCCTTTAGATGGAAAAGATAAGATGAGATGGTGTCTTCAAGGTGCACACAGGATCACAACCAAAGTCAGCACACAAGATCACAACCAAAGTCATTTATGATCATTTGTCTAGTTCGAATATCAACGATTTGCAGATGTCAAAAATATGGTCCAGATTATGGAGCTGGAAAGGCCCACAACGGGTCAAGGTGTTCATATGGAAAGTATTATACCAGCGGTTGCCAACAAGAATGTTGACGGCTAGATGGGGTTCATCTAGTCCTTCTTGTCCGATTTGTCAACAAGCAAATGAGTCTATTCTTCATGCACCCAGGGATTGCAAACAGATAAGAGGTTTATGGTCTGATCTAGTTTCTCCTAATAAGGCAATGGAATTTTTCCAAGATGAATTAAGCTCTTGGCTCCATAAAAATTTGATGACAATAGATAAAGTGTTTCGAAAGTTTTCATGGACATCGATATTTATGTTAGCCTGCTCATATATATGGCAATTGAGGGATGAATATGTGCATGGACAAAATACTAATACTGATTCTTATAAGGGGCGGACTGTTTTGCACCTTGCATCCCAAGTTAATAAGGCCTATAATCGCGGGATGAAGAATTTCATCAACAGAGGAAGAACTAATGCAGTGATTACTTGGGTCCCCCTTGAGGTAGATTGGATCAAAGTTAACACTAATGGTGCGTCTGCAGGCAACCCTGGTCTAGCTACATGCGGTGGTATTCTTCGTGATCATGCACGCCACTGGTTAGGGGATTTCACATATAATATAGGTTGTTGCTCAGCTTTGATTGCAGAATTTTGAGGAATTTTAAAAGGATTAGAGAAGGCCTGGGCTAGTGGCCGGAGGAAAGTGATTATAGTAATGCAATTGCGGTGCTCACCAAGTCTGGTGATGCTGCTCATGAGTCATATTTAGTGACTCGGATACGAGCTTGGTTAACAAGGAACTGGTCAGTTCGATTTCAACATGTCTATAGAGAAGGAAATCAATGTGTTGACTAATTGGCTAATTTTCCATGGGACCATCTTGGAGGATTTTATGAGTCTTCTTCAATTCCCTCCCCCTGATCTTTTTAATTTAGTGTTGGTTGATATGGCCTGTGTGGGACATTTACGTAGTTTTGTTTCTTGATTATTTGTTTGGTTTTCTTTTCTTTGGTTGGGATGTTTCACCCTTGACCACACCCAAAAAAAAAAAAAAACATTAATAAGGAATGAAATGCAAACACAGCTCAAGTTTTTCTTTTTTCCTTAATTCTCTTTCCCCTGCTAAAACATTTGAAAAATTATGAAGTTTAAAGATATTATACATACAAAGCGTTAATTTCATTACACTCAAAATTATAAATAGGAAAAAAAGGTGTTGGGAACCATAACATGCTAATTTTCATCAATCAAGCAAATCTGAAACAGCTTTCTTCCTAAATGCATCAACTTGAACCAACTGGATGGCCACAGTTTTGTTGGGAAATATGTTATCAGCTTTCATCCTCTCCCTCATCCCATATGCAGGAAGCTTGGCATTTATATAGGCTTGAATCAGAACTTGGAACAGACTAATTCCAGAAACAAAACCAGCTTCTCTCATTTTTTGGAAAATCTTTTCAGAATTATGGATGTCACCCCTCTTTGCATATTTCTCCAAAATAGCCATAAAAGTAGTAAACATTGGCTTCATCGGATTCTTCTGGATTGCCTTATGCAAAATAGAGTCTGCCTTCTCCACTTCCCCTGCTTGGACATAAAGTTTCACAAGTGAATCCCAGGCAAATGGGCTTATTTTGCACCCACTGTCTTCCATTTGCTTAATAAAATCCTTACCCTTCGCTAGCATATTATGATTTGCATAAACTTTCAGGAGTACCGAGTAGTTGCTGGAAGTAAGTTTCCATTTCTTTAACATCATCTCAAAAACTGTTTCTGCTTCTTCAATTTTCTTTAATTTTCCCCAAGCTTCAATTGCAGCCAGGCTTTCCTCAATCTGAGGCTTTGACTCACAGACCTTCCAAATTCGCTCCACTTTGTCAGCCTTACCTAGGTCTGCATAAAGGCGGAGCAATCTAAAGCATGCCCTTCGATTCACTTTCAAATTTTCACCTTCTATCTCCTTCAATATAGCTTCAGCTTTTTCTTTAAACTCGGCTGAGGAGTAATGCTTAGCCAAGGATGCCTGTGTTGCCAAGTATGGTTCAATGCCTTCAGCCTTCATTGTCTCAACAATTTGTTCCATTCCAGTAATATCCTTGGAGTGGCCCTTCACGTTAATTAAGATTCGATAAGTAAAAA